GTGTCTCCCAGTCACCGTGAGTGAAGGGGGTCCCTGGGTTCCCCACAGACAATGACGCTGCCCGTTTCCCTTCCCAGGGGTAACTGTTCCTCCTGCCCCTCGATAGTTGGCATTCTGTTCATTAGACAGTGTCAGTGGGTCCTCACCTCCTGATAGGTGGCATCGCCCCGTGTGACCCTCACACTCCCTTCCACTGCCCCAGGACGGGCAGCCTGTGTGGGCACGGGGTCAGAGGTCGGTTTTCCCAGTGACGAGGGCGATCCCGGTCGATTTTCCGTCCTGTCGGGAGGGAGAACGGCAGCAGCTCCTCCTGCCACCTCCCGGACATTTAGCTTCCGTCTCCGGATCCTGTCGATATCCTCGTAATGTTTATCAGGAACCTGGGAATACGGGAAAGGAGACAATTCACAGCGGGGCAAGGGGGACAAATTCACCCAGAGACACCCAGAGACACCCAGAGACATCCAGAGACACCCAGTCACACCCAGAGACACCCAGAGACACCCAGTCACACCCAGAGACACCCAGAGAGACCCACTCACACCCAGAGACACCCAGAGACAGGCAGACACACCCAGATAAACCCAGAGACACCCAGTCACACCCAGAGATACCCAGAGACACCCAGTCAGACCCAGTAACACCCAGAGACACCCAGAGACACCCAGTCACATCCAGTGACACCCAGAGAGACCCAGTGACACCCAGAGACACCCAGAGCTCCCACAGAGAGACTCAGAGACACCCAGTGGCCCCCAGTGGCATCCAGCAAGGTCCAGAGACTCCAGTGTCATACAGTGAGACCTGATAGCACCTAATCAGCCCCAGCAACACCCAGAGACATCCAGTGACACCCAGTGGTACTCATTCATACCCAATGACACCCAGTATCAATCTGTGACTCAGTGAAGCCCAAATACAGCCAATGACACTGTGCGACACCCTGTGTCACCCAGTCACACAGACACACAACTGATAACACCCTGTATCTCCCAGTAACACAGACACAAAACCGATAACACCCTGTGTCTCCCAGTGACACAGACACACAACCGATAACACCCTGTGTCTCCCAGTAACACAGACACACAACCGATAACACCCTGTGACACCCAGTAACACAGACACACAACCGATAACACCCTGTATCTCCCAATAACACAGACACACAACCGATAACACCCTGTGTCTCCCAGTAACACAGACACACAACCGATAACACCCTGTGTCACGCAGTAACACAGACACACAACCGATAACACCCTGTGTCTCCCAGTAACACAGATACACAACCGATAACACCCTGTGTCTCCCAGTAACACAGACACACAAACAATAACACCCAGCCACACCCAGAGACACCCAGTCACGCCCAGTGACATCCAGTGGCACCCAGAGAGACCCAGTCACACCCAGAGAGACCCAGAGACACCCAGCCACACCCAGAGACACCCAGTCAAACCCAGTGACATCCAGTCACACCCAGAGACACCCAGAGAGACCCAGAGACATCCAGCGACACCCAGTCACACCCAGTGACACCCAGAGACACCCAGTCACACCCGGAGAGACCCAGTCACACCCAGAGACACACAGCGACAACCAGAGAAACCGAGTCACACCCAGAGACGCCCAGTGACACCCAGAGAGACCCAGTCACACCCAGAGAGATCCAGAGACACCCAGAGACACCCAGTGTCTCCCAGTCAACGTGAGTGAAGGGGGTCCCTGGGTTCCCCACACACAATGACGCTGCCCGTTTCCCTTCCCAGGGGTAACTGTTCCTCCTGCCCCTCGATAGTTGGCATTCTGTTCATTAGACAGTGTCAGTGGGTCCTCACCTCCTGATAGGTGGCATCGCCCCGTGTGACCCTCACACCCCCTTCCACTGCCCCGG